CGTGTTTCTACGTGTCAAACGAAAGAGCTTCTCTCGGACTATCCAGAGCAATTTGCACGAAGTCTGTAGCTTCTGTGATATTGGAGATAGGTAGGGCGAAAGAAAGGCATCAACAGTGACCTTGATGGGATGGTACTATGCCTACGAAGTTTGAAAGAAATTGGGATAGGGGAAAGAACCTAGAAAGGGCTCGCCAGCACTGCGTGCACAAACCAATGGGATTTGGTGCATGTTTGACATTGCAATCAAGTTCGTTCTGGGGGCCAAAAGCGTGAACCCGATATGCCCCATAGACAATGCGTGTAATGAATGGGCGGAAAACGTGCAGGATCTGTATTATGGCCGGAGTTAAATTGTTTTTTCTCTCTCTCTCTTTACGTCTCTTTATGGGCCGTATTTGGTATCATTAGAAAGAGAATTTCATGGTTGTTATTGTAAACCACTCTCTTTTTTTCTATGATAATCCTATCGAAACACGTGATGTAAAATAGATGTATAGGACAAAATGGCGTCTTAAATGGCCCCCTTGACCAATTTCAAAAATCCGGCCAAGAGGTGCCCTGCGTATTGGAACTCGGCATGTCACTGCAAAATTTCAAGGAAAAAAAAGGACTTTTAAGGGGCGAAAAGCAGTCTGAAAAAATGACGTCATAGCCGAAACGTGTTAGGTTCGGGCGGGACCTCGGCGGAATTCGTGTAGTGATCTTTGTTCAAATGCGATTTACTCACAATTTTCTGTGTGAACATATATAATACTTGGTATCATCCGAAAGGGCACTTCATTGCGGTCACTTTGACACCATTGTTAACTGCGCGCAATGTATTGCGCGCATTGAACGCGCTATTACGTAATCCATAGTAAATTCATCATTTTTGGCGATAACTTTGCGCTGACATATTCGAATATTACCAAACTTGGTAAACAGTTGTCACGTATATGGATACATATGTCTGCAAAGTTTAATTGATGTAGGTATAACGATCGCCATTTTAGAGCAAGTTGAAGTTATTTCTCAATTTTCTTGAAAATGGCGAATTTGGAGGGCAATTTTCTCAAATTTGGTCAGTGATAGGGTATATAATTTTGTATATGGCTGGAAAGGGCATATCTTCAAGTATCTAAATCCAAAAAAGGGTACGGGTTTGCCAAGCCATTATGGAGATACGGCCACAGAGAGAAAGCCAATTCCCAGAACTTTAGAGGGCGCTATTTATGTTGTGCAAAGCAATTGGAGCGTGAAATTTGGCATGGCTATGTGCAATTATAAGATAAAGATACTGTGAGATTTAAATACAAAACGGAATTTATCTGAGAAAGTTATGGCAGTTTTAGATTATTTAGGGGTCCATTTTTCAAGAACTTGAGAGATTTTTGACGGAGTCGGTTTTAGATTTGAATTTCGAGTATGAAGATGGCATTTTGAAGGGCAGGTTATGTGTCGCAGATGAAAGAACATCTCTCAGACTATCTAGAGGAATTTGTTAGAAGTTTGTAGGATCTAGGATATTGGAGATAGGAAGGAAGATATAAAGGCCTTAAAATGGACCAGAAACGGACAAAATGGCGCCTGGACGGTCATGCATGAGTGATTTCGAAAATCGAAAAAGTAGGTGACCTTGATGAGATGCTAGAGATGATGCCTACGAAATTTGGAAGGAAATGGATATGATGAAGGCACCTAACTAGGAATAACAAGCACTTCGTGCAAAACGAATGTGATTTCCGGACGATAAGGAATATACTAAGGAGAATATTAATGGGGCAGAATGTGAACGAAAACAAGGCAATGACGAAGGTTCGTCATTGCAAAGAAGTAAGAATATTAATAAGAAGAATGTGAACGAAAACAAGGCAATGACGAAGGTTCGTCATTGCAAAGAAGTAAGAATATTAATAAGAAGAATGTGAACGAAAACAAGGCAATGACGAAGGTTCGTCATTGCAAAAACAAGGCAATGACGAAGGGTCGTCATTGCAATAAGGAGGGGGGCACTAACAGGAAAACGTGTATAAGAACATCTGTTGACAGCGAAACTATGGTTACATCTTCATGGACAAAAAGATGATATACGCCTCCGGTGGTTTTTCCTAAAAATCACGTGACACATAGTGTGATTGATTACAGAAGAAACACCGGGAATAAAATGATAGAAGGAAAAGACACGAGCTCTCAACAAAAATGGAGACATGAGAAGATAGAAACTGAGATTATTGATTTTCTGCCGGAAATGCATCGACGTAATTCGAGTCTTTTAAAGTATCTCCCCCACCACGTTGAGTGCCACATGGTTAAGAGAGGGACCTTTGTACACCCCACTCTTAAATACTACTCTCCAGTGTGATTTAGCGGAGAGGTACCCCCATATACCTGCCTGGTTGCTCTCGAGCAGCAGAGAGGAGAAGAGACAGACGCAAACACGATTCGAGTACTGGCGGGATAAAATGTGAAATAAAACGGAAATTGACTTCTTCCTAGCGATCCGCGAGTAACTCTACAGCGTGTGGAGGAGTAGTGGGGATCTGGGTCTAATTTAAAGAATGGTCTCTATTTTGGGTTTGATATATAGGCGATGTTTAACCTCTGGAAACAATAAGAAATGAGGAAGACAAGGATGGGGAATTGAATTGGGTTTGGGAGAGGAATCGTGACTTATTGACATCGGGTCAGCTAGTCATATAGACATTTGTTACGATTTCCACCAAGTCCACGTTTCTACTTAAATCATGTGTCAATCTCTTTTGAGTCACCTTTCGTTATCTCATAGTACAATTGCTTTCCCTATCACTATTTCCTATACTTAATAGTTATTCCGATACTTACTATTTCTACTACTACTACTACTACTACTACTTCTACTATAACTACTACTACTAGTACTACTACTACTGCTAATACTACCACAACCACCGCTACCATAACAACAGCGACACCACCATCTCCATCAACATCATGAGTACCTACAGCTTTAATCTACACGTATATTTCAATAGCGTAATTATGTTGCAGGTTTCTATGAAGTCGTCCAACTACAACCGCAGTGCGACTTTCACGAGTAACTAATAAGCATCTCTCGTTAGGATAACTATCTATTTACGTTAGAACAGTGTCATCAAAACAAGGCATAATACAACAACTTTGTTGACAGTAACGACTTGGTACAATCTTCGCCACATTTCTTTCCACACAAGAGTCACACCACGTCCGTATAGAGCCAGGACAGCGGCGCGGCAGTGGGAACGTGTTCATCTTTGAAGATCCTCGTTACGAGTACCCACTCTAACAGGTCACAACTTGACCCAAGCTCTCTTCATCTCCTCTCCATCATTCAATCCGTTCTGTCTTCCTGCTTTTCGTCCTAGTCTTGGCAACTCCTCCTCGCCGCGTGCAAATGAAGGTAGATTCTAGATACTGCATCAATAGCACAGCAGCCGCTGCGTGCAATAGCAGACTGCATTGCTTTTGCCATTTTAGTTCGTTCAAATGGGGTTGTGCATTATATTTCGCGAATAAATTGACGGGGACTGAGCAGTGCTGACGATCTTTAAATTGACTCATCTGTCAGGCAATCACCTCGAGTGAAAGATTAACCCGTTACCTTTCCGGACCAAAAAAACATTTCATGTATTTTTTCTTAAATTTTCCAAAACAAACATTTCCTTAATGCGCTTTTAAATGTTCTCTCCACCGTTTGCTGTTGTTTATCTTATCTTGATATGAAACCACTCTGACTAATCGAAACAATGTGATTAGCTGATTCTTGCTCTTTTAAAGGTAAAGACCAGTATTGGAAACGCCCCAATTTCAAAAAATGAAATGGAAGCTCTCATTACCAATCATGTGAAAGAATATGTTTTGACTAATACATGGTGATAAAAAATTTGCCGGGAAACCGCCTACTAATTCATATATTTGGTAAATTTGTTTCTCTCATGGTCTGTGAGAGATATAGGGTAGTCCCATATACATCTTTCTGTGTATAGTGCTTGTAACTTTACGAAGAATGGGCCAAATTTCTTATCATTTTGATGATTCCAGAACCTTGCAGATGCTAGATGCTAGATGATCAACCTTTTCTGATCGATTCCACAACGTTTCTTTCACAATGCAATCGCATGACCATAACTGGTCTTTACCTTTAAAGATAAAGTGAACTGTCGCATACATGATGTCGTTACAGCTAAGTTTTATCGCTCTGATTTTGTAAGTAGATTATTGTGGCTACCAATGACAATGACGCGTATCACATCAGTTCATAATCATTATAATACCACACAATTTCAATGAGCTAGTAGTTACTGAAACTTTAAAGGGGAAGTCCACCCTAAAATTAAGTTAGTTTTAATAGGACTAGAAAAATGAGAGAAACAAGTCAGTGAAAGTTTGAGCAAATTCCGATTAAAAATAAGGAAGCTAGGATTTTTGAAGTTGTGATCAATCAAACACAAATTGGCAACTCTATGACGTATCATGCGAGCTCAACTTCCATTTGCTCAGTACTAAAAAAATCTAAAATTTTCATTTTCCCTCAAGAAAAATTTCAACCATACATGCACCCTAAATATAATAATTGCAAATATGTTTCTATACTCCCCCTTCAAGGAACAAATATATATTCCGTCATCAATAACGAAGAAAACATGATTTTATGGAATATTATGCACAAAGCAAATGAAGGAGAGCTCGTATAATAAGTCACAGAGTTGCCAATTTGTATTTGATTGATCACAACTTCAATAATTCATAACTTTCTTATTTTCATTCAGAATTTGCTCAAACTTTCACTCACCTGATTTTCTTATTATTCTGCCTCTATCGAAACAAACTTATTTTGGGGGTGGACTTTCCCTTTAAAGATTGGGATTCCGGTATCAACACAGAGTAAATGCATTATTAAAAAAAAAAAAATCCTTTTAAAGGGCTTGTGTTATTGATGAATGAAAAATAAATAAAAATACGAAACAATATTTCAAAATTTCAACTATGAATGTTTGTACTCACCAGACAATACAGAAATACTGCACCAATCAGAATAATTCTCAGTAAAACCGGACTTGCTGCCTTTACAACCTGAAAAAAAGCAAAAAAACAAAGGAAAACATATAGTTAGAAAGAAAATGTCCACTGTGAAAAAAAAAATGAGATTGAATGCAACTGATCCTGTGTAAACAGTCGAGTGACCAAACGAAAATACAGTTTCGAGCTTGAAATATCATATTTCATAAATTTCGGACTAACCGTGAAATAATATATCTAATGCTTTAACTAAAAATAGATGCATATTTAATCCTTTTATTGATATGGTAACAATGGTGAAATTTACAAAGCATTTAAGAAGGATTCCATGGTGAAAGCATGTCAGTCACTTTAGAAAATTTATCTCATACATTTTTAGCCCTTCTTGCATAACGTTACATTACAACATGTTTTCTGCATTTCGAATAAACTAACGAGCGACTTTATGAAAACAGATCTTATTTTTGTGTCACAATCCTTTAATAATATTGAGAAAAGATGTATTTAAGACAAAAATAATATATCAGTATAAGTATCAAAGATAAACGAAATCTTATCGTAGGTCATGTCGGTTGGGCTTAAAATCGGGGCTGAATATGTAAAGGATTCATAAGATATTGATCTCAATATCGATTCTGTATCAACAAATACTAAAATTATTAGTTTCTAAGAAACTGCAAAACAAAAATAATTTATTGTATTATGCATATACATAAATATATATAACTGTATGCATATCTTTACTGGTTCTATATATATATATATATATATTATGTAACAAATGTAAAGAGTTGTCTTTTGTTTCCTAATCTCCATATTATCAAAGAACGAATATATCAACATACATGTAACCATGTATTGTATGCTGAAGTGCGTTATATTGAGATAAAATCTATTGGCATGACAAGCAACACACTTTGGTAAGAATATATTCTGAAGTACATGCAAATCGAATTTCAGTCGTATTTCATTTAAGTTCATGAATACTCCCCCCTCCCCCCCAAAAAAAAGATTCATAACACAAACCATTGTGCCATTAAAGCATCGAGCAAATTATGAATTTCTTGCACGACATATCAATAGCATTGCTCAGTCAAAATGCTGTGAAATGTTTAATATAATGAGGTGGACCTAAAAAGTAGTTATGTTTAATACCACTACTATAATAATATCCTTAAATTACTTCAATTGGCCTTAAACACGAGCTTCATCAATGGCCTTATCATGTCGGCATGGTACGACAGATCACGTGACTCGATCCGAAATGGCGCTCACGCCGCTTCTCTGATTACGTCACAGATCGATCGAACACCCCTCCCGTCCATGCACGACCTTGCATACTAGGATTGAACGGGACCCGCCGATCGACGGTGCAGCGAAATACATAATTATGTGGGGATCATGTTCTGTAAAATGTACGAATCGATCGCGAGGATCATACGAACGGCGTCGAAGCCAAGGACGCGGTCGCGACGAACTATCTCGGCGAGGAGAAATTCAAGATGAGCGACCAACGGGTGAAGAGAGCATCACCTGGACGCCTCCGGAAGGAGGGAATGGATTAAGGTAGAGAGGGTTTGAGAGAGCTGGGAGATGAGGGGAGGGGGTAGATGAGGAAGGAAAAAACACAGAGGGGTATAGAGAGGTAGGGATATAATAAGAGAGAATGTGAGGGAGGGAGTGTGGGAGAGAAAGGAAGAGACACATGAGGGTAGGTTGTAAGATGAACAGAGAAGGAGGGTGGGAGAACAAGTGTAGGGGTTTGTGTGTGCGTGTGAGAGATATGAGAAATCTAACATATTTAAATAAAAAATACAGACAAATGAAAACCATACTTGCAGAATGATAATACGTCTACTCATAAACAAAGGAGAAGGGCTTAATTAGAGACAATGAAAATATAGATAGAGAAGGAGAGATGAAAAGTAAACAGATACAGTGAGTGTCTGAGTGATAGACGATGGGAAGAAATAGAAAGTCACAAAGGAAAAGACAGTCATACGTATGAAAGAATATATATTTAAAGTAGGCAAAGTAGAAAGATTAAAAAAAGAGAGATGTGTGGCTTGAATAGAGAGTACATAGAAATGTGTAAATAAGAAAGTACAGTAGAAATAAAATTGAAGCGAATAGAAATAACCAAAGTCTAACAACTGGAAAGTCATCTATACAAATATTAAAGAGGAGGAACGCAAGAGGGGAAGCGGGAAGAGCGTTGTCTTTTAAACGGGTATATGGAAAAGATATAGAGAAGGCGAAATATACAGCAGACAAATATAAAGAAGGATAGACAGAAATCGAACAGAACTTAATATAAATTCACAAATGCATCGTGAAAAAAGCAGACAGATAAATGAAAGGAAGAAGGAAGAGAATGGAGGAGCTGAAAGGAAATGAAATGCACTGAGAAAAAGGGACAGAAAGAAAATAAGTATACAGTAGGCCTAATCGAGCGAGACAGATACAAGGAAATAGACTTTATTATTGAGGGAAATATTAGCCCTCCAAGTTTGAAAACAAGATCAGTGGCCGGAGATGAATAAATATGAGGTTGAACAGGCGCTAGATAATGGTGGGTCTGGCGTTCATTGGAGACGTTTTCCGCGTCGCTTCTATTAAATATCACCATCCTGAAATTGCATTTGTAGGGCCCTTCAAAGGGCAAGAGGTGAGGGCTTGAGTCACAGAAATGAGGAGATACGGGACCTACTCAACCCCTGTACATAATATTGAATATTCTTTTTATTCAGCATACATGAATGTTGGAAATTAGAGGTGTTGATTGACTATTATGAATAGGGGGTGTGTGAGGGGGTGTGTGAGGGGGTGTGTGGGGTTTCGGGGAGGGGGGCGGATGTCACACCAAACCTGTCGACAACAAACATTTTCGCGGAGGAAAAGAAGAAGAATAATAAGAAGAATAGAAAGAGGAAGAGATTTGCAGACAGAACAAAAAGTAGTCCTAACATCTTTATTTGCCCACAGAATATTTCAAACAATTTTCCATCAGTACCCCCCCCCCCTCCCCCGAAAAAAGGGGAGACAAATCATGATTTGTAAATTCAATATTTGCTGAGAAAAATATTTGGAATGAGAGCACCACAACTCTTTAGCAACACCCTTATTATGAACAAGGACAGTGATCTATTAAGAAAATAGAGGAGTAGGGGCAAGGTTTGAAAAAATAAAAAGGAGTTTACCGTTCCGAAATTGACGGGGGGGGGGGGGCGGCCGCCACCCGCTGCATACAGAACCATACCCATATACATATGTTTCATTTATTTTATTTATATTGCAATATATTAGTGACATCATGAACAGAAAACATGATTACAAGAATAGACAGAGAAAGATATAATAATAAAACTTTATCTGAAAAATCATAGGGACATAACAATTGAAACCAAACTAAACAAAATTAAGTATTTTTTTCTTTAATAGAACATCATAAGAAATATTTATATTTTGACACATGTATGATTTTTAACAGTGTTGGATTGAAACAAAATGAAATCACTCATATTCAACACCAACGGTAATAATATCAGCATTATCAGTTTCATCACTATATGCACTGATGATGCGAGTCGTATTGTGTTGCGAAAGGAGTCGAATATTGCCAGTAAATTAAGGAGGTCTTTTTACTCGGGTAACAGATGGCTTGCAACCTTATCGAGGGCATCACGAAAGAGAATCCTTTCTATCACTGTGCCAGTGACAATAACATTCCAGTCAGCTCTCAAGACAAAATTATGCGAAGTTCATTCATGAAACGACCATGGAAAAATAAGCCGTCAGCGTGGAAAAAGAAACTCGAAGGCTCATCGTCGAGCGGAAGAGGTTCAACACCTAATCTTTGACTACAGATGTAATTATGCTGATTAGAGTCATACATTGATCATGGGGAAAGTAAGCCGTCAGTTTGTAAGATAGACGCGAATGCCCATCGTTGAACGGAAGAAACGGAACACCTAATCGTTCACCTGTTCGTCTGCAGTATTTTGACCGATGACTTAGCGGCACTTTTAGTCCCGATGTGTGACTTGCTAGCGACCGTAAATCCGACGATTATTCAACTTCCTGATCCCCCGTGCCCAGAGGGAGGCGATAGACTTACATCACCATTCTCCGGGTATAAACCCGGAAGGATCGAGTGACATTTCCTAGAGTGTTAACTCTGTAAGATTGTGTGACAAGTAGCCCCACAAGTCAGTGTGAGGTTGCAAGTGGTCAGTACAGTCGTATTTAGGACGCTATTTGAAAATAAACACAACCCGATGCCAATGACCCACTGGAATATGTAACAACGGAGAGAGAGAGAGAGAGAGAGAGAGAGAGGGGGGGGGGGAGGGAGAGAGAGAGACAGACAGACAGAGAGAGACACAAAGAGAGACAGAGATAGAGAGAGAGAGAGAGAGAGAGAGAGAGAGACAGAGAGGTAGAGAAATAGGTGCTAATATGGTGACCATGATATGAAATCAGAGAAAGTTTTCGTGAGTTACTCGTCTTTCCACAGATTTTCTTGACTCTAGCATATGGCTATATGATTATAGCAACCATTAACAACTTTGTTAAATCCATCCCCATTTGTATGGCAATCTAAAATGGCTGACGATCATTCTGATGTATCCTGTGAGGTAACAAAGTTATAATAAATCATTTGAGTAAGCCCCGTTACTCCTTTGAATTGCATCGAGATGTGTTTGTTAGAGGGAATGCAATGGATATTTTGCGATAAATTGTAAATGTTCATGTCTAAACTGTCTCACTTCCCCATGTCGACAATGTTGAATTTATATGAATGCTGTTACCAATGCAACAATTCATAAGAAACGGTACCAGTGTTTGTCAAGAGCACAGTCATTCACTGACTTTACAGGTCATATAATAATATGCAAGCTTCTACAAAATTTACCCATACTGCTGTCTTTTCTTCCCCTTAAGTTCCTCTCCTATTGCGCCCATATTGCGACCATCAACGGAGCAATGCCAGAAATTGTCATGAATATGAACCAAAGCGGTTATGATTGACAAATGTTTTTTTTGAAATCCCA